TGTGTTTTGCCTCAATGGCGTAGCAGTGAGCTGGAAGAGTTTTAAACAAGACATGGTGGCTGATTCTACAACAGAAGCTGAGTACATTGCTGCTTCAGAAGCAGCAAAAGAAGCAGTATGGATAAGGAAATTCATTATTGAGCTCGGTGTCGTTCCTAGTAATGTTGGACCAATGGACTTATATTGTGATAACAATGGAGCCATTGCACAAGCCAAGGAACCTAGATCACACCAGAAATCAAAGCATGTACTCAGGCGATATCATCTCATTCGAGAGATAGTCAATAGAGGTGATGTCAAGATATGCAAAGTACCAACAAATGCAAATGTGGCTGACCCGCTCACCAAGCCATTACCATAAGCAAAGCATGAACGTCATACTAGTGCATTAGGCATTCGTTTTGTTCACGATTGGTCCTAGTGCAAGTGGGAGACTGTTGGAAGTATGCCATAGGACAATCATACTTTATGATTTATCAATGAATATTTACAACAAACAACATCATTTTATGCTAATTATTATTGTGAGTTTTCTTTATTAATATTTAGTCCCTGAATATTATGTTTAGTAGCTAATTAAGTACGTGACTTAATTTTGGAATGCTACACTTTAAAACAAACATAATATTCTAATTGTCCATGGTCTAATATTATTAATCTGGGACATTAATAATTAATAGACCATTATGTGGATTAACTGATTACTATAATCCACTAGTCATGGATATAGACATATCAAGTTACTAAGATAGATGCTTGTTAGTGAACAAGTTCATTGGACAGACCCAACTTGAGGACACTGCTAGGTTATATGTCATCAGTGTTGTCCTCAATAATGATGAGGTGCTATATTCTTATACTTGAGATAATCATGGTTACTTGCATGCGAATTAATATGTATTAAAACCATTAAATATTATTTTTAAATGGGTATTTATAAAGGTGGTGATTGTACATATTATGAACCATGTAGTGGTATGTGAATTATCAAGATAGTTTTTGTCACTCTCGTATAGCGAGAGAAAGATATCTATTGGGCCCCTTGACAAGTAAGATTAATTAGCATGGCCATGCTCAAATGAGGTGTCATTTGTTCAAAATTAATCTTACTTGGTAATCAAGAAATATTAATTGAGAATAACAAGGATGACATGACCTAACCTTGTCTCAATTAAGATATCGTTTGACAAAAGAGAATTATTAGCACAAATTAATCATTAAAAGGTTATGTCAGATTTAATTGACATTTATATATTTTGGATAGTCATAATGCCTTGCTAGAGGCCGCTTATGATCTGTGAGACTTGAATTAATTTTTTAGCCCAGTGCCAATAATATATAAACCTACAGGGTCACACACCTAAGTGATTTGGATCATTAATGTTCGTTAATAACATTAAAATAGCCTGATTAGCCCAATTCGAAATAGGGTTTTGAATGGTATTGGGCTAGGGCCTCTTGGGGGGTTTTATTAGCTATAAAACTCCTTCTTTCCTCCTCTTATAAATAGGGCTATATAGACCCACGAATTTTATAGAGTTAAAATTCACTTCTAAAACCTAGAGTAGAGAGGAAGAAAGAAGAGAACGCTAGCACGTTCCCTGCGGCCGATCCAATCACGTGTGTGTGGATACCGGTAGAGCTCGAGATTATTTTCTCGGACTGTATGACATCTTTGATTAAGATTGCTATGTAAGTCCCTCTTATATCTTGTAATTTCGTTTATAGTAAGAACCTCAGATCCGGTTGTTTACTTTTGGGCAGTATTTTTTTGTTTATTCCGCTGCGTTTTTCTGTCCGAAACCCAACAGCCTCCCCTGACTCGTCAACATTATGTGATCATCAATATGCTGAAATTCTACATGATGAGCTCAGGGAAACCGTCATGTGTGGTACATGTTCAGATTGCTCCACACACATGGCGGGTATGACAAGCTGTGAGCAATCAAACCTTGCACATTCTGAGGGAGAGTTTCAGTTTTCTCCTCCTGGCGCCTTACACCGACAAAGCAAGGAATCTCTCAAAGGATGCAACATTTTAGGGGGAGTATTCAATGTTATCCTTCCCGGTGCCTAACAATGACAAAGCATACCGAGTGCTCCAGTTGAGGGGGAGTACAGAGAGAAAATGAAGAAAGTAATGAGAGAACATGTCCCTATGGCTTAGTAAACTCAACTAAGCCTACCCAAGGGACAAAGCCGAGCGTAAGTGAGTGAGTGAGCAAGTGAGTGAGTGAACATTATGAGCGTTAGGAAGCAGAAGGCTCAAGTGAGAAGAAAAACAATAATCAATGATGAGTCTGCTACCTCAACTGCCTATTATCCATTGAACATTTACTCCTAGCCACTCAAATACTCTGGACAATTCCCAAATAGGTTTAGGACTGATTTAATCAGATCCCGGGTAGAAGTCACTGCATCTTGTCCAACAGTGCATGTTGAACCCTATCCAAGACCCCTCACTTGTCTCCCAACAGACATGTGTTTAATCATATTTCACGGGGAACCGCATCTCTCATTACTACCTCCTTACGAGGCAAGCGATACTGACTACAGTGGCCTCATCCCCATGCCACTGAACTTTCATTGATCACGTCGTGTCTAGTTACCTCACTCCCAAATGTTTTGAAATTTCTAGGACACAGACGCACTTTTTGAGTCAGTTGTAGGTCTTCAAAGACCCGCGAGAACTTCCATAGGTCTCATCTATTGCAGATGTAGACTAATGATTGGAATGAAGTCCTGTTGTTGCAACATAAGAAGAATCACCAACATTTTCAGGCCATTGCTTTAGAGTTATCTCTATAGTGATGAAAACGGGTGTCTACACGACCCCGAGGGGCTTTTATCATTTACTCTTTCTGTTTGTTTCGTGTTTTATTTCCGCAGAATAAAAGAATAAAAGCATGACGTCCCGATTCATCGGATCCTCATGAGGGGGAGAGTGGTCCACATGTTGTTAACACTGAACAAATCATTCGGGGACACTTCACTCCTCCATCACAAAAATCAATACCTTCTCTGCTATCTCTACAACTCAAATCAAATGGTCAGCTACACTCACAAATCAACAATCATTATGTTCCGTTGTGCCACCGACAAGTTCTCCTCAAATGCATTCATTCCAAATAGTCAAAAAGACTACATTGTGGAGGAGACATAGGTCAAATACTCGTGTCCTGAAGATGAATTCCATGGGCGTCTCCTATTCTCCAAAGAATATTCATTCTAGAGGCGTCACCGGACTTCATCCAAGCTGATCAAGAGCAACTTCTGGAAGGCAAGGACTACATGCAAGATACTGAAGGTCCCTCAACCCCCGGCATCAAAGATCAAATTGTCAAGAAGACATCAAACGGGAGATTGCAAGGATTTCTTCAGACAGCCTTCCTCAGAAGTCAAGTTCAAAGACAAAGGAAGCTGAATAACAACAAAGACAAAGATATCTGCGCTGCAATGCTGATTCAACACGATTGAACACCAAGGGGGAGATTGTTAGGAATATTTTATGGTGTCCAATCTAATTAAATATCTTTGTATTTGTGTAGTTATAAATTAAACGTGTAATACGGGCCACAAATGTGTATCAGCCCGGGGGCTTCCTTGTAACACGTAAGTTAGCTAACTTCTCCTATAAAAGGAGGCTAACTTACGGGAACCCTAATCAATTGATAGAGGCTTAGAGACGCAGAGGCGTAGAGATAGAAAGATTAGGGTTGCCGCTGCTCTCCTTCTCCAGGGAGAGCAGCGGCCGGTTCATACGGTATAACAGATTCGTGTATAATATCGATATCTTTCTATCTGCTTCTTCTTAACTGCTTTGGTTGTATGATTGTTTAGTATTCTGGGTTTATCAAGTGTCAAGTGTGCTCCTACTCTCACAAATCTCTGAGTCCGCAACTGTTTGCAAGTGATCAACTCGATCCACTAATCAACACCCCCCGTTGACCATTGATAAAATCCACTAATCAATCCACTAATAGCTGATTGTCAAACAAGAAATTGTCCAAAATAGGACTAAAACATAGTCAAAACTCCAAAATAGGACCATGAGTTTGTTATTCCCCAAACAGGATCCCAGATTACAATTTTACCCTTCATTTAATTAAACCCATCGACACCAGCGGCCGACTACTTATACCAAATGCAGATGTCATCTCATATGAAGAAAGATCCATGGTTCATATTTGGAATTGCAGAAATTGTCCAGGATCTTGGCACGTTCGTCCCCATGAGCTTGCCTCCTGTTTCCCGACAAGATCTTGACTTCTAGCAAAGGAGTGGAGACGTTTGTCCCCATGAGCTTACCTCATGCTTCCCGCCAGGATCTTGGCTTCCAACCAAGGAGTGGAGATGTTCGTCCCCATGAGCTTGCCTCCTGCCTCCCGCCAGGATCTTGGCTTCCTGTCAAGGAGTTGGGACGTTCGTCCCCATGAGCTTGCCTCTTGTGTCCTGCCAGGATCTTGGCTTCCTGCCAAGGGGTGGGGACATTCGTCCCCATGAGCTTGCCTCCCGTGTCCTACATGCTCCCAAGGCCAAGGTTCCATACGTACGTCTTGCAATTGGGCCTTGTTGTCCTGTTGGGGACATACGTCCTTGGAGACGTCGTATTGCCCTTAGCCGACGCTCCTGACGTGACGGTGGCTTCCTGTGTAGAAAAGAATGAAAATATGGAAGGTAGGAAATGCGACGGAAGAGAGGAATTGTTTTCATTAAAGGTAGTTTTGTCAGATTAACTCTTTTTAGTCCTATTTTCGTTCAATAAAACATTATAGTCCTATTCTTGTAATTCTACCTTCTTTTAATCCTATTTAGGGAAATCTTTTATTGTCAAACACATTAGTTTTATAATAAGCGTCAAAGTCAAAACAGAATTATATTTCGAGACATAAACAAATTGCACTAATTTTGTTTGACAAACATCATGCAAGTGATGCAAAGCGTGGAACTTTTCTTACTAAAATGAATAAATGGTGGATAAGCTTAAGAAAAAATCGATACGCGCACTATATGTGCAGCTTAAAAGTCAACACGGATGACCCATCTCATAATTGAGCTTCTACCGTATATATAAATAAATACTCCAAATTAAGCTTACTTAAAACAGCCCGCAGAAGATCGAGATCTGATTATCTGAATCCATATAGTAATTACTAGTACTAATTAAGATGAAACATACTCCATTCTCAATCCTTTTGATCCTTTCGGTGATGAACGCCTGTTTGGGGGGAGAAATAGCGATATACTGGGGACAAAATGGGAACGAAGGCAGCCTGCGAGATACCTGCGCCTCCGGCAACTACAGAATCGTCAACGTTGCTTTCTTGAACGTTTTTGGGAGTGGCCGGAAACCTGACCTGAACCTCGCCGGCCATTGTAATCCGAGCAGCAATGGGTGCACCGGCCTGAGCGCCGACATCAAAGTCTGCAAGAGCCAGGGCATCAAAGTACTGCTCTCCCTGGGAGGTGGGATTGGCAATTATTCCCTTTCTTCTGCTGAAGATGCAAAGTAAGTTTTACACCTTGCACCGGATGATCAAGTTTTACTTTGTCCCATGAAATTATTCTTGATTTAACTTGGATATGAGTTTAAAAAAGACTAAAATGCATAAATGGTCCTTGAACTATCATCATATCGTTTTGGTCCTCAAACTATTAAATCTATCATTTTAGTCCTTAATATATTTCATCTACATTAATCAAATCCTTCCGTTAAATTTGTCGTTAAAGTTAACGGAAGCTAATTAATTTATTAACATCTCATAATTTTAAACATTTTGGAACAATATAATCATTCTTAAAATTTAAGTAGCTAATCTAGTTTTTTTTTAAATATACATATATGTACACATACTCATATAAATATTATAAATAAATAATATAAAATCAAATGTATGACCTAAACAAATGTTTGGTGATGATTTAATTAAACAGGGGAATTATTTCTTGACCCACCAGTTAGGTGATTCAATTAGATAGCTTCCTCACTTTTAAGTACCTTTCTTGTGGGAATAGTAAGTGACGGAGAGTAAAATTGAACAACTTTGGTTGGTGTACGTCAAATGTGTACACCTTTCATGTACACATGTCCTTTTATGTACACATGTCTGTCCCCATCAAACAAGTTGTCTGTCCACAGACAATTCTGCTGTCCACAGACAATTCTGCAGAGTTGTCTGTGGACAGACAACTCTGCAGAGTTGTCTGTGAACAGACAACTTATCTGCTGGAGACAAAGATGTGTACACAAAAGGTGTACACATTTGGTGTACGCCATGCATTTTTCAAAATTGAAAGATATTCCCAATTCACTATCCTCTAAAGGTATAAGCGCAGATGGAACATGCGAGGTTGCTATGTAAACAGATTCTGTATTAAACACCAATCAAATAACTTTAAATCTTATACTCCCTCCTCCGTCTCTTAAAATTCTTCCCACTTTGACTTGGCACGGAGATTAAGAAAGTGGTATAAAGTGGAAATATGTGGTTGTAGTTATGTAAGAAAAAAGTGAAATGAATGTGAACCACACAAATTGTTCAAAAATGGTAAGTTAGAAATTTTTTTGGGACGACCTAAAAAGGAAAGTGGGAATAATTTTATGGGACGGAGGGAGTACTTCATTAGTTCTTCCTTCCCAAACTGATTTACAATTTGTAGCTTTTAAGCTTGGTTCATAATAACGTTCAATCTTCCCAGTTAATATTGTAATCAATTTATTAATTAAAATTTACATATACGGTGGTGAAAGTTAAATCACAATATAACAATAAGGTCAGAAACAAGTGAGATTCATAAGAGTAAAAACAAACTTTGATATAGAAAAATAAATTATTTAATTAAACAGGGGAAATATGCTAGTTCGTTACAGAGTATTATGAGTGTGTTTCGAAATTGATTTTACTTCTGTTTTTTTAAACATAACTAGAATCAAAATCTATTTTCAAAAATTGGTATTCTCTCTTCTAAAAAATGCTTCTAGAAGCAATTTGGAGCACCCTAGCTACATATACTTCGTGTATAGTGAACATGGTCGATTCAATGGGAATTGAAGAGATTTAAAGCGAGTAAATAAACATTCCTCCATCTTTAATTGTATTTTTCGTGTGAAATCATGTAATTGTTTAGCTAAACGTATACAGTACACTGTATACATATTTTATACACCCCATTAGTTGTCACGGCTTTTGAATAAATTGTTTGTATAGACAAATAACTAGAAAAGAAGGGCTTTATTTTCATCAAAGTGAAAACCTATGGATGGGCTTTCATTTTTAGCCAAACTAAATGGAGTTGAAACGATCAGACCGCAAACCAAACTGGTGAGCGTGCCCTATGCCCCTACATTGTGATCATTATTTACTTTAGACCTCAACTTAGATAGTTTGATAGTTTGATGGTGAACATGCACGATCTAAAACAAAACAAAACAAAACAAAATAAAGTAGAGTCAAACTACTTCATTCCCTCTAATATTGAAACGTCTGATGCAGAAAAAATAACGGTAAGAGTCATTTATAACTCAGAAATTTTAGCAAATTTAGTATATACGGAGTATAAGACAATCTTAGTAATACAAATCAAAAAGAAAAGAGAGATTTACCTAAATAGGACTAAAACATTGTGGAATTGCAAAAATAGGACTCCTATGTTTTATTTGACAAAAATAGGACTAAAAAGAGGTAATCTGACAAAACTGCCCTTTTTAAAAAGGGTCTAAAAAGAGGAAATGGGTTTTGTTGGATGTGTTTTGCGTTTCCCCTTTTACAAGGAAATGGGTCATATATTATCTAAAAAGAGTTTAATGCACCAAATGTCATTGTAATATATAAATTCTGATTATTATTTCTTTCTGTGTATTATTAGCCTACAATGAATATAGATTGTGTCAAACCTCCTTGTGTTGTACGTAGACACGTAGTAATTATTAATGCGTAAAGCTCCCTTCATAAATCATTATGATCGGATATGCAAATAAATTTGTAAAGATATCTAAATTATATTTAAAAAAACTAACTATTTTCCATTTTTGGCAATAAATTTGTTAATAGAGAGGATTTTTGCCCATGAATATTTATAAACCAGGCAAATCTGACACATTTAAAATCATAGGAGCTAACACACCAAATTTATATAACAAGGGGTTTCACTAAACATTACCTAAAAATAATGAATGTTTGATGCTTTGATCATATTCAAATATTTTTCACCCAATACCAAACTAGGAACCCGTTTGATGTCATGTTTTTCATCTTATCAGCCTTTTTGACTAACTTTTTCCGTAAAGCACATAACTTTTGATTTCACGTGCTGAATTGCGTAATAATTTAAATAAGTAAGGTTAGAGTTACTTATCTGACTAAATTGTCTGAACTTACTATAAATGACTATTTTAGCTATTTTTCATATTTTTTTATTCTATTAATAAAAAATATCTTTTATATAAATTTTTCGTAACTGAGCACAATCTGTGAATTAGCCACATTAGCTAAAACTTCATAAATTTCGGCAGAATTGGCCGATTCAACTAACCAATTTCTGTATTATCATTTAGGCTCTAAATTAGAATGTTTTCCACACACAAAAATCTCGGATTCAAAATACGTTCTTCATTGGCCTAAAGTTTTTGGACATCATTGTGTGCACAGGAATGTGGCTCAGTTTCTGTGGGACAACTACCTTGGCGGACAATCAGGGTCAAGGCCGTTAGGAAACGAGACCCTTGACGGAGTTGACTTTGATATAGAATCAGGCGGGAGTCAGTTCTACGGTGAACTGGCGAAGGCCTTAAAGGCGTTCGGACAGAACGTGTACTTATCGGCGGCGCCTCAATGTCCATTCCCCGATGCAATGGTGCAACCGGCCATAAACACCGGAGTTTTCGACTACGTTTGGGTTCAGTTCTACAACAACCCTCCATGTCAGTATTCTTCAGGGGATGCCTCCAAGCTCCTCAACTCTTGGAACAACAGCTGGTCAAACATTCCCGCCGGGAAAGTGTTTCTTGGATTGCCGGCCGCTCAGTCGGCTGCCGGTTTCATCCCGGCCAATGTGGTTACTTCTCAGATTCTTCCGGCGATTAAACGTTCTGCTAAATACGGAGGCGTGATGCTTTGGTCTAAATTCACTGACAACGGCTACAGCTCAAGCATAAAGTCAGCCGTTTAGTCAATCAAAATTTTATACACGCTCTGATCTTTATATGGAGTAAAACATTTATTTGCATGTGCAGAATGCAGCTCGCTAGTTCTTAGCTTTTATCGCTTGTAAGAGCATTGTAACGAAAGAATTTCTTGTACTTCCTATGTCTCACGTTTGAAACTTCTCATATAGGAGTATATGTTATGGACTCTTTTGAAGTGAGTTTGTTATTTTTGATTTTAATTTATTCAATGTACATATGAATAGTAATAATGGATACCATAGAACCTACCAATATAAAAAGGTAACAATGCAACTATGATACTCTTTTAAAAAACGAGGTAACCTATCTATTAGTCATTTGATTTGTTCATGTGAACAAAGATAGAATTGTTCATGTGAACAAAGATAGAGACGGAGGTAGGTATAGGGCAAGCTCCCAACTTTTTTAGGTTTTTACTAGTATCAGTATTAAATATGATGAAATAATCAGAATATATTATGTCAGAACTACCTAATAGAAGCCTGTATTTGACATGTTTTTGGGTAGAAATTTTTGATGAAATTTTGTAACCTTGTTTTTCATGAAGTGTATATCAATTATGTACATCAAATTTCAGCTTCAAATTCAATCGGAAAATTAACTAAATAAATTATGGAAAACACCATGTAATTTTATATACATTTTGTCGCAGTGTTTTTCAATAATTTATTTAATTGACTTGCCGATTGAATTTTAAACCAAAATGTGTAAATAATCTACACATCATTAAAAACATTCAAAAAAAATCATAAAAAAAAAACAATCCAGAACCACCTCAAACATAGGCGGTCTGACGGCGGATCCCGTCAGGTTATTTTAAGAGGATCGGGCCTCATGAAATAATTCCATATATATGATTAAAAATATGAAAAAAAATGTTTTATTTCTCAAATATATCTTGCTTAGTCCTATTAAAAATAAATTGATTAAAGTTTGGTAAAATAGTTTGTGTCCCTCAACGTTTTCATGAATCCTCCTATAAAAAAGACATGCTTTCCAAATATGACTGCAAATTAAGCTTACTTAAAACAGCCCGCAGAAGTTAGAGCACTGAATCCATATACTAATTAAGATGAAACATAATAAGAAAATAGGCCCCTTCACATTAATATCGTCGTCCCTGCTTTTGATCCTTTCAGTGATGGAAGTCTGTTTGGGGGGAGAAATAGTGATATACTGGGGACAAAATGGGAACGAGGCCGGGCAGCCTGCGAGATACCTGCGCCTCCGGCAACTACAACATCGTTAACGTTGCTTTCTTGAACGTGTTTGGGAGTAGTCGGAAACCGGCCCTGAACTGAGCCGACCATTGTGATCCTGGCAGCAATGGGTGCGCAGGCTTAATTGAGCGCCGACATCAAAGCCTGCAAGAGCCAGGGCATCAAAGTACTGCTCTCCCTGGGAGGTGAGACAGAGGATTGGCAACTATTCCCTTTCTTCTGCTGAAGATGGCAAGTAAGTTTTGATAATACTCCATATTAGTTAAAATTATTGTATGCGTGGTTAAATTTAAATAAGTTTAATGCATCAAATCCGCGTATATAAGTTTAGGACATTTGCCCATATGGAGCGTAGCTCATCTTTTAGACTATTTGGAGTAATGTATGATTAGGAGTCCAAAACATTAAAGATGGAATTTTCCATGTAGTGGTAAGCATAGGTAGTAAAAATGGAAACAGGGGTGGAGGGGGTAAATATAGATGGAGGATGATGGACTCTCAAGGCTAAAAAATATTGTGAATATGTGTGGAGGGAGAGTAGGAGAGAGGAAAATGTAAATGTTATGTGTCCATCATAGTAGGAGAGCGGAAAATGTGGAGTATAACTTTTTTATTTGTAATCCAAATTTTATAAAAAAAAATATCAAAATTCATGAATTTTATGATCTTTCATATGATACCGATATGTAATACTACTTTCCTTCCTATTATAACTTCCAATAGGTTTGACACACAATTTAAGACAGTGGGTATTCCTTCCTAGTAATACTTTGAAGCATGAGTTTCACGAGTGCAGATTTTTAAATCCTGCAATTTTTTTCCTTTGTTTGTGACTACACACTATTAGAACTTTGTGGAAGTGCAAGTAAATAAAAATAAATCTCCAAACTGCAAAGATGAGCAAATGTGCAGCATGCTTCATATTTTCATACAGGAAGAACACTGTCAACACTAAAAACATCACTTTCATATTCTGAGAGTAAAATTTTAGACAACATTTTTATATATACCTTACCCGCTATACTGACATTTTAGACACTCTTTTAATTCACTGATTCTTCTGCTTGTATTGGAATTCATATTTAGCTTAATAAAATCACATTCTTCATATACATGCATCCACCTGAACATCTATTAGCTTGGTGGCCGGGCTTGTTGACATGAAAGAAAAAGATGGAAGAAAGAGAAAACAAAACAAAACATAAATTGATATGCATGAAAAAATGAAGAACAAAAAGAAAAGACACTGAAGAAAACAGATCAAAAAAAATGAAAAAAACAATCTTTTGCTATGGCTCCCTGTGATTATCGCTATAGTTGAGCAAGTGTTTAAACAAATGTTTAATGCTGTTTGCTAAAAAAATGGCAGAACAAAAAGAAAACATAATGAACAAAACGTAACCAAAAAGGTGCATTTGAAGGAATTGAAAATAGATGTACCTATTCAACTCTAAGAAGAAAAATCAGTCTTTTGCTAATAGCTCCCTATGATTAACGCTATAGTTCGGCGAGTAATTAAAAAAAAGTTTAATGCTATTAGCTAAAAATATGACAGAACAAAAAGAAAACATAATGAACAAAACATAACCAAAAAGGGGCATTTGATGGAATTTATAGTGGTCTATCAGGTGTGACTCTCTTCATTGTTCCATTTCCTAATCATTTAAATAGAAAATATTTTCCATTTTTCTAATCATTGTTCCATTTATCGGCATTTTCTTATTTAATATTTTTATTCATGTACACTTCATATAATCTAATCATTGAATAGTTTCATGAAGTATACCGTGTAAATAATATATGCGTTGTACATTTACCAGACATGAAAAATCGAACTTCAGCCACAGGTCCTGAAGTTGCGGCCAAATCAGCAAAAACAGACCCGACTTGGAAACAAAATTACTTGGCTCATGAAAATGATGCAAATGCATGAACTTTATTTTTTAGAAACATGACTTTTTAATGTAGTTAGTTGGTTCAATATGATGTTATATACATCATGTTTAATACTTGCATAATAGTATACGAAGTATGTGATATTTTCTTTGTAATGCGCCTTACATGAGTCAGGCGAGCGCTTATTTGCGCCTTGCGCCTCAGGCGATGGGAGTACTCCGTCGCCTTGAGTGTGCCTCAAGGCTTTGACTACCTTGCCTGGGACTATGCAAAATCTAACCCATTCCCTGCATTTCATTTTGTTAACTCCTATTTTTTTTCAAATACCTAATTCCCTATAGTTCAGCAAGTGTATGTAGGTAGGCATTTCTTTAAGCAAATGTTCCCTATGATTATTATAGTATTAGGTAGTTTGTTTTAACTTAATTGTTCAAAAAAATGAAAGAACAAAAAGAAAACAGACTGAACAAAACAAAACAAAAAAGATGCATTTGAAGGAATGAAAAAATGATTTACATATGCAACTCTAAGAAGAAAAGTCAATCTTTTGCTATGGCTCCCTCTGATTATTGCTATAGTTCAGCAAGTGTTTAAACAAATGTTTAATGCTATTAGCTAAAAAAAATGACAAAACAAAGAGAAAACATAATGAACAAAACGTAACCAAAAAGGTGCATTTGAAGGAATCGAAAACAGATATACCTATTCAACTCTATGAAGAAAAATCAGTCTTTTGCTTTAGCACCCTACTAGTATAGTACCCATGCGATGCACGGGTAAATATATTTTGAATACGTAAAAGTAATTTTTTGAACAATAGAAATAATATTGTTTTAGGGTTCAAATTTGACCGATATGTAAAGTAATAAAGTAAAAGTTGTATGGTTCAAATTTGTTTTTAAATCACATACTACGTAGTTATTTCATAAAATGAAAAAAAATTACCCTAAAACATGTGTAGTTGAAATTTGTGGAGAGACTATTAATTAGAAATCTATCTATATATGAAGTGGGATATCTGTGGACAACACATGTAATGTTGTACAAAATATAAATACACTTGTCAGCTCTTGGATTTTCCCCTTTAATTAATTCGACATTTAGGGTCTAACTAAAAAAATCTAGCATCTAGGAATTCAAAAAGTCATTAATCTTTACTAATTTGATTCTTTGATTTTATAGTAATTCATATAGCTCTTTTAGCTCTATATCTGTCATAGAAGAAATATATAAACCATTAGCTCTATTACTTTCAGGCTATTTTAAATAAGAAGCCCATATCTTTAATATGATAAAGCTCAACTAAGTATCTAAATAAAAGGTCAAAACGATATAAATTTGCGTTAATCAACACAAGTCAAATCACTACTCAAAGTCCTCTACTCTCCTGCTCTGCTCTACTCACATTACCTCAAGCTTCGCTATCTCCACATCAACCGCAGAAGCTGGCAGCACAATCAATGACAGTAAGTTTTCTTCTTCTTGACTGTTCCATTTTCTTTGTTTTTTCTTTTTTCAGCATCTACTTCTTTTAAACTCTATACAAGTCAAACATATATATTTGTAAACTACCAATATAGTGGTCTATCATGTGTGACTCTCTTCATTGTTCCATTTTCTACTCATTTAAATAGAAAACATTTTCCATTTTTCTAATCATTGTTCCATTTATCGGCATTTTCTTATCTAATATTTTTATTCATGTACACTTCATATAATCTAATCATTGAATAGTTTCATGAAGTATACCGTGTAAATAATATCTGCCTTGTACATTTACAAGACATGAAAAATCGAACTGCAGCCACAGGTCCTGAAGCTGCGACCAAATCCTCAAAAACAGACACGACTTGGAAACAAAATTACTTGGCTCATGAAAATGATGCAAATGCATGAACTTTTTTTTTAGAAACATGACTTTTTAATGTAGTTGGTTCAATATGATGTTATATACGTCATGTTTGATGTTTGCATAGTAGTATATGAAGTATGTGATATTTTCTTTGTAATGTGCCTTACATGAGTCAGGCGAGAGCTTATTTGCGCCTTGCGCCTCAGGCGATGGGAGTACTCCGTCGCCTTGAGTGCGCCTCAAGGCTTTGACCACCTTGCCTGGGACGACTATGCAT